TCTTGAGAAAAAAAAAAAAAAAAAAAAAAAAAAAAAAAAAATGCACTACATTCATGGACATCTCTTTATCCACTGCCAGCTGCAATGAAATCAAGTTCTGAAATTGAGTGTGGTGATGCAGACACCCTGCTCGAACAGCACCAGAGCTGGGCTGGGGTGCATGGAGAGCCTTGGAACGAGCTGGGATACCATCGGATGTTGCCATCGGATCCGTGCAGGGTTTGTGGTCATTGGGACTGCGCACGGGTGCCAATGTCCGGGCATGAGAGTGCTGGACCATCGCCCAAGAGTGTGAAATGCTGTTGCAAAACCATTTTAAGATGGAAAGGGCTGCCTGGTGACGAATGTGGTTTTGATTAACAAAGCTCGCTTTCAAAAACAAACAATGCGGCCATATAGATGACAAGCAGCATTTCAGATGTACAAATGAGCAGCACCCAGGTGGGACATTGCATTAGCACAGCTTAGGATTATTTTCATTAAATGAAAGGGCAGAGGCGGGAGCGGGGCGCCTGCACGGGGCTGGATCGCGGTGCCAGGTGCCATCGCCAACCGCGACAGGCCGCGAGGACAGAGGCAAAACCACCATGTTACATCCTGCATTTACATAAGCTCTGTTGGCAGCGCAGTTTAATGTCTTTCCTAGAAAAGCTCCGCGGCCTGGGCCCTGCCGTGCCCGGGCGGCCTCCCCTTCCCTTCCCTCCCTTTCCCCGCGGCCGCCTCCCCTCCCGCACTGCCGGGCGCGGCGGGGAAGGGGTCAGGGAGCGGGTCCCCCTCCCCGACCCCCGCTCTGGGCTCGTGTGGCCGGGCCGGGCCGCTCCTCCTCGCCTGGCCTCGCCTCCCGGCACCGCTGCTTCCCTTCCTCCTTCCTTCCCTCCCTTCCTTCCCTTCCCTTCCCTCCGCCGGCGCCCATTTCGGCGCGGCCGGGCACCCGGAGTGTCTGCGGGCCGCCGGCTGCTCCGCGCCGCTTGGCTCCTTCCCCCAGTAACAGCTCCCACATTCCGCCCCGATCCCTCCTCAATCTCAATCACACACACACATATTACTTTTTTTTTTCCCCTCCTTCCTCGGGACTTAATCTCCAGTCTCCCCCCCCCCCCCCCCCCCCCCCCCCCCCC